AAATTTGTCATATGCAAGCAACCATCTACCGACGATTGCTGACATTGTTTGACATTCCGTTCCACAGGGCCATATGCAATGTCAACGCACACGTAAAAGTCAAATGCAAACTGTCGCTAAACTGAAGTATCCCAAGGAACTAAGGGACTAAACCAAGGATAGGCGATTAATTTTTCTAGAAGGCCATATAAGAAGCTGGAATGATTTTCGAGGGCCGGACTAATATATTTAACTCAATTCTATCCAATACCATGTCCGTATACATGTATATGTATAATATTTCTTCATAAAAAACACTGAATGGAAACATTGTAATGGATTCAGTGAAAATGTTGAGGAATTAAATATATTATTATTTAATGTTAAGATGATGAAAGATCAACTGACTTTAACATTTAAGTGTTGCGATTTAAGATTAGAATGGCATGCCTATTTATGATGTGAGAAATGAAAAATAGATAAAAAGTTAGGAAATCGCTACATAAAAGCAGCATTGATTAAAATTTGGGGAAATACAAGGAGCGGCGAGGAGGGGGACAATAGACTTTTCCCGCGGTTCCCAGGACAGAAAAAAACTTGCTGGAAGGTCCACCAGATGCCCAGATCGGAACATGTTGAGAATAACAAATTATCATAAAATTAATAAAGTGCAGTAAAAACAGTGATCTAATCCAAAGCTTAACAATAAACGATTTAATGAATACATTTAAAGAGTACTCTCGAAGCATGTTGATGCAATGCCTTAGAAAAACAAAAAAACTCGAGTAGTAGTCCAAGAAGAGAACATTTCCAGAGTCAGAAATGTTATTTGTTTGATAACAATAAATATGAAATGAATAATTTTAAGTAAAATATGAATAAAATGTGAATAATTTTAAAAGAAATATGTTTCAGTTTTTAACAACTCTCAAACAATTTTCCCGGTACAGCTAAGACCTGTAAATCTTTCCATAGAAAGGAAGAGAGAAGAGAATGATTTTGGGAATCAGAAATGTTATTTGTTTAACAACAACTAAATACTAATAAGGTATTATGCAGGTAACAATTAGATTTGTAAACAATGATAGATACGAACTTGGGCACTCATGGAAGCAATAATGTTGATATTAATATCAGTATTGTAATCAACGTACACTGCCAATGCAAACTATAACATTTCACAGATGTTTAAATATGATCAACAAATTCAGAAATGATTACAATTTCAACTTATAATTCAAGCTATCACATCCTTTTTACTAATTTAGTTATTATAAGATATTTCGAAAAATCTGGCACAAATTTACAAGTGTAATTCTTTAGAAACGTATATAATTAATTAGTGAGATGGAGCTTGAGAACGAACTTACTCGTCCGGTGGCCTTTTTGTATCGCAAAATAGATGCTTTAATGAGGTCGCTAACAGTCATATGACCATAACATGGTACTACCACTCTTACCTTACCAAAATGTACTGTCACTTTTGCTTTCATTTCTTCTGTTCAATCTCCCTTAAAAAAGCATACATTATTCAGTTGATCATTTTCACTTTTTGCAACAACATTTCACAATTAAACTTTACAAGTAAAAGCACAGAGCAAAGAAAGTATATAAAACAAATAATAATTAAGAGATGAAAAGCCTTCGTCTAATTAAGACGAACTTTTCGACATACATAACGACAAAACATCGCTCAACATATATAGGTTTAGTTGCTATTGTCTAACACAGTCGAAAAATGCTTCGCTTTCAGTAGAAGCACCTTATAATTATTTATATGTCTTCTGCCGGAACCATAATAGGTTTCAAAATTAAAGTGAGACTGCTGATGGATGAACGTAATGATATGATCGTAATGGATGGAATACGACTGAATAATCCACAGGTTAAAAACTCGAAAAAGTTAAGGAAGCTTCAAATAAAAAAACTTTGTGCTACTGACTTTTCAAAAAAACTGTTAAATAGGAATTTCTGATTCCCTAGTGGTTGCGGGCAAGATTTTAAAATTCCTTTTTTAAAATATTTTGCAAAAAACGTAGGTTAAAAAAACTCGACTTCATGCCGCATTTCATTTCCGAGATTTCTCAAAGGAAACTATATTGATTAACTTTACGGAAAACTCTGAATAAAAAGTTGGCAACTTTATTTATGATTAGCAAACTCTCTAATGTAGGAAATACTTTCAAAATTGTTGCAACACGGCCAAGTTGCGGGAGGAATTAAAAATTAAGAACTAGAATTTTCTTCAAAATTTTCAAAACTGACTGAATATATTGAGAAAGAAAAATTCAAGTATTTCTTTTCGAACAAATCCAATGTTGCTAAATGAAGAAAAAGAACAACGCTCTGAAAGTGAAATAGAACATGATGAATAAAATTCAATTTTCATTTAAAAAACAAAAAACAAGAACAAAATATTGATCAGTTTTGTAGATTAGAATGCTGATAATGAAGAGAAACATTGGGAAGAAATAGAACGATTTCCTCCTGATTTCATCCATCTTTTCCATCAAGGATTACTTCTCTCTCTTAAATTTCGACAATATATGGGTAGTGATGAGGAAAAGTTTGCAACTAAAAGGTTAATTTCTTTTTTGATTTCATAGATTATCTGGAATCGATTGCTGTAAAATTTAACCTAAATGTATTTTGACTAGCTAGTGAACTTATTCTTAAAGGAAGTATTTTGCACACATTTTTTTTTTTGGAACGACTACACTTATATGGTAATAAATTTAATGGTACAATTTTCCAGTGGATAGAGAGACCAGAAATACGAATTGAAAGTTTATTATCGGATGTCCGAACAACGATTATATGCTTGTGTGTAATTCTCATTCGAGCAGATTTTTTTGCACTGATCCAGAAAAGTTTGAACCGATACATGCTTCACTTACCTTAACAACAAGATAAAGGAATGACTAATAGCACGGCTCTAATGCCAAGCTATAAGAAGCCAAGCTGGACTCTTTCTAGTGGAAGCTGTTATATGACTGAGTGTTGCTGAGAAGTGATGCATTAAATCTTGATATTACCGCACTAATAACGCATTATCCCTTCATGTTTATTTATCCGTTAAGATTTAAATTCTATATTAATTTATAGTATTATTCATAAATTTCTCAACGTAGTGACTGTATTGCCTCCGTAAAAGTGATCAGTATATAATTATATCATCTATTTTAATTTCAGAATTTCAAGTTACATAAGTACGGGTATTTACTATACATTCCACTCAGCAATGATAACATACAAAAAAGGTTGGGTAGCAAGGAAGTGATGATTAGCATTCTAAAAAGAATTTGTTAGTGATATGGGAAGGGAATGAAATTAAAGAACGGAAGATCTAGATCGATTAGTAGAGGTGAATCATTTAAATGAATAACACTTCACATTGGAGAAATGTCATTGGTGGTAATGACCCCTGCCTTCTTATCAGGGTATTGTGAAGAGATGCAAACTGATATTGCACAATATGTTATCTTTGTGATGATTACAACTTATCACTTCTCACAGATTTCTCTCTGTCAATTTTTCGAATTACTTGAAGCACTTCAAAACTGAGTTTTGCAACAAAATTTTCGCCTAAAAGATTTTAAAAATTTTGAAATTGTTTAACAGAGCGATTTGCACAGCTTCAGTCCTTGTTACAGAAGATATAATATTCAAATATGCGTGCGCTACAGTTTTCGAAATCCCAGTGGAAATATCTATGAACAGATCAACAATCTCATTCAGTTCCTGGTTTTAAGTTACAATTCTAAGGTTTCATTAGGAAAATTTCTAAAATGATTTATAAATACAGATAATAATTGCAAGACATGAAGAGACGCCAAGGGCTAGCAATGTTAAAGGGATGAAAGAACGACCAGACAGTTATGACTTACTGTATTTACAGTAACTGTCATGATTAATTGAACTAGAAAACAAACCGCTTCATGTAGCTCGCAACGGATTACAGAAATGTGGCAGAAGTGAGGAAGATGCAAAGAAGATTTTCTTTTAAGAAGTTTCAATTGCAACTGTTAATAAAAACTATTCAACTGACCTTTTCAAGCTTGAAATGAAGAAGATCAATGATTTTGAACCGTAGAGAACTGTATTTGTAAGTTTTTTTAAAAACAATACCTATGACATTACGCTATACACTTCATCATATTTAGGAATTTTAAAGATTTGAATTTGATAAATACAGCAGGACAGGACAAATAGTTTGTGGCTCCACTCTGGTAAGAATGAGAAAAAGGCTAAACTAAATATGTAGTAAACAGCAAGGTAAGAAGTCCATGGTTATTGAACGATTCGAAAGGATGGTTGCTTAGGGTACGATTATGCAATAAATACTCATGTGATATAATTTAATTGCGACAAATTGAAGAAGAATTACTCCATGATATTAGCAGTAATCAAAATGTTAAGGAATATCAACAGAAAAGGACGAAGGATCTTTAGGAAAAAAAGATGCAAACGGGTTAAAAGCATTGTCGACGAACAGCTAACATTACTCTTCTTTTTTTTATATCACCAATACATACATATTCATGCAAATATCTACAGACGATTTTTTACATTAAAATATAAACCATTAGGAAAGGAGCATCGATGTTTTAGGACAAGAAAAGACGTGAAAGATCCATTTCTAAATTTATCCTTCCAATTATCAATATGCAGTAAAAACAACTTTGCTGTAATAATGGAAAAAAAAAGAAAATATCATCTGAACAGCTTGAAAATACAAACAGAACAGTAAGGAGAAAAAATAAAATGCATAGAAGAGAGACAGATGAGAGATAATAAAATTCAAAATTGAATTTTTGAATTAGAATTTAGATAATCGAAAATGTAAATCCAATTAGAATTTTACTAAACTAGGAGTACAACTATTATTTCTAATATTTCCATTAAAACTGTCATTTCCAATATTTTCATTTATCATTCAGAGAAAATATTACACATAAAATTATAGTTTTCCATAATTTTTATTTTGTCTTTTTATGAAAATTAAAGGTTGGAATAACGAATAACCGAAATGTGAACAATCCATTCTTTTAATTTTCATATCTAAAAAGTGTATAAAGTTGACAGAGTTATAGTTGAAATGTCTCATTAAGAATTTCGAAATTTTAGGAATATTTTATAAAAACGAAAAGAATGAACTGTTGAAATGGAAATTCAACTGATTCATTTACATTGTAATTCCAATATGCAACCGAAAATGTGTTTGAAAAGTATTCTCTGTTTATTAAGAAGAAATTTCCCATTTAGTATAATTGAAAGTTGATAATAATGTCAATAATAAAATAATAAATATGAAAATTTTCAATGGAAGATTGTATAATATTTGACTTAATACTACTGAATTATCATTGCTATTTTAATAGAAAGTGGTGGAAAAAAGGCCTTAACTGTATTCTTTGTATTAGAAAGTGATCAAAAATTCAAAAAGCTAATTGTATTTACTTATTTGAGGAGGTTTCAGAGTTAAATTTTACTCGGAAAAGTCTTAAGATACAATAGAAAAGTTTCAAAATACGTTCCACAAACACCAAAATACATTGATGCAACTTTGTCAGCTTAGGAAAATGATGGCATGTTTTCGGAAATTAGCGCTACTCATGTCCATTTCCACTACCATAAAAGGAGTATGAAAGTAGCTGCAATCAAACTTCAGTTGATAATTACAGGTCAAATTATTCTATCCATTGATACGAATTACTAAATTTCTTTCATTTCTAAGCAAATATCAAAATATGTTCATTAACCCTTTACAACGCTTTTTCCCGCTCGTAAAGTACATTCGCAAAGCTATATCATAATTTTTTGCTAATTAAACTTCATTGATTGAATTAATTCTTAGATGTCAGAGCATTATCACTTGCTGATTTATCGCTATGATTCACTTTCCTTTATTGTTACGACACTTAATGCCACTTTAGGAAAATTTGTATAAATAATTCGGCTTAACATCACTTATTCATGAGCAGAAATGATAACTTATGATAAGGAACTCGTTCGGAATTTTTGGATGCAATACTGAAAATGGGAATTGTAGAAGTTCATCACCTCCTATAAGATACTGATAACAACTTTTGTGACATTTTACTTTCGAAAGTAACTTTAAATCTATAAAGAATGATTCTTTGACTCATAGAATAACAGCTACGTGAATACGTGAATTTCTCGTTGAGTAAAATTTCGAATGAAAGAAAATTACTGATAGAACAGATTTTCCACGAATAAAAAGCATACAAAATCTCACAGTGGCAAACGAGTACGAATCTTTTATTCAACGAATAATCTTCTGGTAGGGGATTATCAGTAACTTGCTTTATTTAAATAAATTTACGAAAATGTCGTGGGGAAAAGCGGGATGATAAACTTCACCTGAAAGAAGAATGGAATTGCGACATCAGTTATCATACGGTATTGGTGGGCGATAAGCATTTGTTCTGAAGCCGTTTGAGGTCTTACGATTGTGAGTCAAAGGTCATGCAGGTAAGTAAGCTTACAAAATGGTAAATATTCAAAATTCCTTCATTTTTATTATTGATTTCTTCTTAATCAGTACATTTACTTACGAGCCAACAGTCGATTAATCAAATAAACAAAAAGCGAATGAGTGAGTGGGAGGTAGAGTGCTCTCATACCATCATATTTAACTCTTATGTCAACAAATCTCTCTGCCTCATACCACAGTGTGCTAATGGAAACATTTCACAGTTAGCCGATTCAGGAAAAGGTCAAACGATAATGACTATACGGTAAACAAGTGAAATAAATAAATAAGCAAATGATAGTAAAGAATCCATAATGATTAGGTTTGTTGGCCAAACAAGTATTTTTGTCTTCGAATAGTTGGAAATTTTGAAAAATTGCAAATTCTGTGAAAATTATTAAGAAATAAAAAATTATTAGTATTATTAAGCTTAAATTTGACAAATTTCGAATTTATAAGATTGCATAGCACAGAAAATTCGATCTAATCAGTAATATTTTACTTTGAAAATTTATTCCAAGTTGTTAAATTTTCAGTCAAGCAAAATTTGATTGATTCAATTGGCAAAAAAAAGGAAAAAAAATTGCCGAAGAGAAATGCATATTGCAAATAAGTTGCTCTTTATTTACATAAATTTTTAGGTGAATAGTAGCACTTCGAAGAGATCACATTTGTCGTTCATCATCGAGCGTTTCTTCAAAGAGAAATCGATTAACCAATACCAATACCGCGGTTTGAATAAAATCAATAAAACCAATTAATTGGTCATAAGATTAAACAGTTTTAAATAAAAAGAACGACTTTTCGAAATTTTTAAAAAGGTAAACTTCCATATAATTTGAGAACGTTATATGTCCTGAAAGGAAAAACTCTGATAACAGATACTGTTCATCATTTATTAGAGGACGAAGACGCATACTATCGAAGAAATGACAATCTGCAGATATGAAAGGATAAGATCGGTTTGAAGTTTTCAGAAACATTTCAGGTGAAAGTGAAATGCTGTGCAGATACAAGCAGCTCCATACAAAAATTTTTTCACTAATACTGTCTGTAACAAAAGCATTTCAGGATATTTTTTTTTGTACAATCAATTAACTCTATAGGAAAGAAGAGATACGCAATGCTGATCAAAAATTGGAAAAGCGAATAGAGGAAAAGATTATTATGGAAATGGTTAACACTTTGGTGTGTCACGCCGTGTAAGCCTAAGAAATGCGCGGAAGTCATAAAATTTGATAATTATTCCTATGCTACTGTGACCTTCTCTAACATGATCACACTTTTCACTAAGAGAAATGATGACTCATACAAGCAATTTATTATTTCCAGTCAAGAACAAATTGTATACCTCATTTTGAAATGAAAAATTAGCTTATTCTTATCAAGGACTTCTGGAAAGTTACACTTTAGATATGTCACGAGATGAGACTGAATGTCACCAATGACAAAAGTATTGTGAGATGTTGGTAAGTTTACACTTTTTTTAATTGAATATATCCAATAAAAAAGGGGAATGGAGGTAATATTGACTGATAAAATAAGATGACAATTTTCTGCAATAAAAACTGTAACTTAACATCTATTTATGTCTCATAAAATTAGCAAAAAGTTAAATAAAAGTGTGACAGGTAAAACATTAAGGGCAATATTTCGATTTAATATGCATCATCCACAACCATGACAACAGGGCCACCGAAATGAGACCTCTTGGCAAATGTGAGTGATATAGCGACACGAACATCTGCTCATTCTTCAAGGCAATGAAGGAATATATCAAACTGCAGACATATATATTTTTTATTATTTGTTTTTCATGATGCTGTACATCCTATTTCTAAAAGGAATTATATCCTAACGATGACAATATATGACAATCTCCCGCCTTAAAATTAAGTAAAATTTCAAACTGCTGGCACTAAGAGGCAACGGAATAAAATTTTGAAGTTTTGCAATTTCATTTTATAATTATTCCTTTGCAAAATTACTATTAAAAAAAGAAAGAAAAACACTGCATTTTTAAAAATAATTCAAAAATGAAGCATTACAGAGAAGAAGTCACGAATAAAAATCTCTAAATTGTTACTTTCGCTCTTGAAATTCTTTCCTTAATTAATTCAATCTTTGAATTTACCAAAAAAAAAAATTTAAAAAGTTGTATAAACATGATTAATCGGCAACAAATAATCTTGCATGCACATGTCGTCAGTGACACGGACTAGCAAGCAATATCACCACTGAAGTTTAACGAATTCAGTTTTGATGAGATTATAAAGCTCATAGAAAGTTTCGCAGAAATATCGAACACAGTTTGTTGGCCAGTTATCGGAATAATGAATCTTTATTTTTTCAGTACAGATCTTTTCTATTAATTAAAAAAAATTTTATTATTTCATTATATAAAATCAGAATAAAACTAGAAAAGTTTCATTATTTTATTATTAAAAATTTTATTATTTTATAAAATTTTATTATTGTTTTTATAATTTTCTCGTTTCTTCCAATTCATTTATTTCTGCTTATATTGTTGATAATTTCCAACACCACTTTTTTTTTTTTGACAATTTATCCTTTTTGATGAGTAATGTTAATAACAAGCATTGTCCTCTTTCGGTAGTCAGTAATCTGTTGTTTGTGGAAAATCGAAGCCAATCCTGTCATTTACAAAGCATTAACAAAACCGGGCTATAATGATGCACCATTAGACTATGTTTGCTTTGTTCACTTAATCGATATTTGATTCATATGATTCGTTTCTGGCAGAGTTGCAAATAACACTGATAATGAATAGTTTTAATTTAAGAGCAGTTAATGATTATTATTGATAGGTCTGAGAAGTGTTTTGTTTGAAGCAATTGCTGAGATCAGATTATCATCTTGTTACAGATAGTTTCAGCTAATCTAATAACTAGTAACTATGACAAGCTGAAATAGAGGAATAATTGATTTTTGAATAACATTACTAACGCGACAAAATTCTAAAATCAATAATAAGAAATGGAAATGAATGAAATTTAATTGTTTTAAAAATTTCGAATATGAATTTAGGAAAGCGATACGGTCATTTAAGCGAGGGTTAAGAAATAAGATTGACGAAGCTAGTTAGAAGGAGCCTGGAAATATTTTTGTTACTACAAATACATTTGCAGAAGTTGCAGTTTGACCTTGCAACTCCTCAGCTTTTCCTAATCAGCTTTTTTCAAGAAAGTTATCCGGAAATGTTGAAAAGAAAGCGAACTCTTCGGGAAATGTCGGAAAATGAACTCGAAGCTGTAACCAAAGTTTTTTCACCTGGTCGATTCTTTCAAAAGCATTCAAAATTAGATCTTCAAGAAGAAATAATCCATTGGTGGGTCTTGAACATATTACTATTTCGTTAAATATTCATTTCTAAGTAAACTGGATAAATTTCGTGATTTCGCTAATTTCTTTTTCAAACTTTTCAAAGTTATTGAACTCAGCATTAAAAAAAAAATGTATTTAACTCAATCTATTAAGTAACTAAGTGTATTTTTTCTTTTTGTATGAAAACTTCCAGGATTTTGGAGAATGGTCTAAGAATCGACCATGAATTCACGTTACTTGAAATGGACGACGGTAGTTATGGCATACTTACTGACGAAAACGGTTGCAGCTGTTGTCAGAAATCAGTGCTATCTGGTAAGAATACATTTTATTGCTATTTTGACAGCTGAAATTATGGGAAGATATCTTCATATTCAGTGATAAAAGTTCGTTGTTATTGACTTCAATAAGTGAATAATTAGAAGTTTAAATATTTATATGCAGAATTTCCCAAGTCATTACTTATTCATTACCTATCTCATATTTTATTTCTATCCTAAATTTTTTATAATAAACCGATCTGAACGCAACAATTACACCAACACCAGATGAATCAAATAGTAAAACAATAATCGTCCGGAACTGTCGCCGTCATATCAACTTCGTCCGTTGAAAACTTTCCGTTAGGAATGTCCGAACAGTTATAAGATTGTTGTCTGAACGATTTGATGGTTGTCATACTATTCATTACTTTATTTTTTAAATTCTGTCAATTCCTTTTAACCTTTAGTTCAGTTTTTTAAATTATATTTATGAGTCATATTTTCCGGTATTGATTTAAGTTGCAGCTAAGATAACTACTGAGAGGACTCAGTAGAGCTATCCTATCAACTAACCATTTGTACTTTGACAGTTTTAAATATTTCATTTCCCTCAGGTATTTGGAAGCCTCAGAAAGTGAGCAGACGAAAAACTTATTTTTGAAAACACTCTTCATTTCAGTGGTCTATTAGTATATCTTCATATTTATCCAAAAGGTATCGCATCAGAAAACCAAAATTTCCCTTTCCTCGATCGGTCTTCTTTTTCATTTCCGTCCTTGACAGTAATGAATGATCATCTGTTATTAATCCTCTTTCTCCTAATCATTTTAGGTCTGATTTATAAATTTATAAGATTTGAGAAAAGAAAGCACTGTTGTAATTGGGAATACGCTTTAAAAAACGGTATGGATAGAGTAGCAATAAACAAAATGTCGATAATTTAAACCAAAACCTTCGTCTTGAAATCGTGAAGTTTCGACAGCCTGAGTGGTATTAAGATATTACGGGAATAGCTGTCACTCACATTCTTCTCTTGATAAATTGGAGGACAGATTTGCAATGAAGGCATATATTTTCGACTAAAGTCCGCTTATTTCAAATTTCTTAATGTTTTCATGCTTGAAGAAAAATAATCCATCCCTTTCTATGAATTATTTATTTCATATTTAAATATATTACTTAACTTTTTAAAAGTGCATAGAAACTCACTAAACGGCTTTATTTGGTAATATTTCCTTTCAATAGTTTCATAAATTTTCATTTTCTTTTTTAGTAGGAATTTCAACTTAGCCTTTTCTGCCTTTTAAAATGCAACAATCCGTACAAAATTTTGACGAATGCAGGAAAACGTCATTCATTTCAATAATGTCACCATTTCTTGCAACCTGAAGTAAACTTATTTTTAATTTTAGGTAAAGAAATGTTTCTTTGCTGTCATCCATTTTAAACTCAAACTTTTTATCACAGTTCTACCGTCTAATCTTCGACGAGAGTTGTGCTTCATTCATGTTCTAAAAACAGAAAAGTTTTCTCAGAAATTAAAACGTTTAGAATTAGTTACGAAGGTTAAGGCAATTCTACAAAATAGTCACATTTAATTTCCGGATAGAACGATATCATAATAAACCAAAATTAGCTCGGTGATATCTCTCTCATAACATAATATTTTACTTTAAGTCACATATTTGTGTCAGTTGTTTCAACAAATTTAATTTTTAATAAAGTGCATCTTGCTTTAAAGATGCCAATCAAAGTGCAGAAGAAGAAGTCGTAAAGAAAAGATCGGAGAATAGTTCGCAAGCTGAAATGAGTGGATCGATTGTTGTAGAAGAGATAAGTCAAATTAAATCTGAAACTAATGTTAGTTTCTATGTGATAAAAAAAAAGGATGCATTTTTCTAATACACTTACGATTTTAGGCCTTTTCTTGTAGAAGGAGGACTGGATGAGGAAAACTTTTAAACTCTTCAAAAGTTTGAAGTCCAAACTACCATGAGTCATCGATACCAAAGGTCACAAGCTATATTTTTAAATTTCCCTGAATTTACTGACTTACTGGTACTCATTTACGTGACAGATACATGATAAAAAGGTACATGTGTAATGTGAACTTAATGTTACATTATGACGTGCCGTGAATTAAGCTTTAACAAAAGTAAGCTTGTTTATTTAGTTGTCATCTGTTTATTCCACGTAACTTTGGTAAACAATCTGTCAGAGTATTCTTTTGCATATCAAGTGAATATTCACACAACTGCATGTCAACGTAGCGTTGTATTTTCGGAAGTGCATTTACAGCTATCATTTACCGCACAGTACGACTCGAAATCAGCGATTGTTGGCATGCAACCATTACCGACAAGTTTATCGTTCAATGACAGCATAACAAGGATTGATGAAGGTGATTATTTTTATCAGTTTCGAATTAAAGATGTCACGATAGGATTGCGAACTTTTGTTTACTAGAGTGGGATAAAAGAAAGGATGAGCCTCGTAAGTTTGCGGTTGACGCATTTCCTACCATGCATTTCAAAACTTCCTATTCTGGGTCCTCGCCCAGTGCGATCCTAAGCGAATGCAGAAAACGAGTTCTTTTCAATATTGATTTAAGGATATTTTGTTGTGACTGTCTTAGAAACATCCCCATAATAACTTATAATTATTAAAGGGAATATATCACAAGTAAATGAATCTGTAAGAGTTTCAGGCTCAAGAGTAAATCCAAAAGAGAAATTTCAGGTTTAAGAATAAATTCGGAAAAGAATACTAAGCAACAGAAAGGTGGACTGTCTCAATTTTGCGCTGAATTAGGCAGTTGTTGCATTTCGTTGTTCAGTAGCTGCTGATTAAATGACTTCTGAGATCTAAAATGTATATATAATTGATCTGAAAGGTTAATTGATTAATTTTGTCCCGGCAACTGTTTTGTTGAAACTAGGCAGATTTGTTAGTACCATAATTTTGAGTGTGAAGGATCCATCCGTTAATAATAAATCCTTGATGGAGAGAATAAAATTATGTTTTATCTTATCACGTTCTTTCCACCGTGAAAGATATCTTTAAAGATACTTATATATTTGTCAGTTCTAACTCATTATTCTGCTATAATGCAATTACTGTTGCTTTTATGCTAGTAAATTTCTTAATTGAAAAATTGATAGTTGATGAGATCGAAATCATCTATCGACCGATTCCAACTGATGATGCATCCGTCCAGTTTGGCTGTTGCGGTTACCTTTAAACATCAAGGAAAAAAGTTGTGGCAATTAGTTAGGTGAATAAGTAATGCATGCATGCTGTATCGTTCATGCATGCGTGTGCATGTATCATCTGAAAAGCGTACGATTTTGAAACTGATGTGTGCTCGATAAACAAATGAGCCAATAAAATCAATGAGGAGTGCAGTTTCTATCGATTCATCTCAAGTTATTAATAAGTTATAGTTGTTTACAACGGCAAACAGCGATGCATTGGCGTGCATACATCGGCTGCATCAGTCATCAGCTCAGTACAATACACTTACATGATGCGTCCAGCCATCTGGTCTCTTCAACAATTCGATTCATCAACAACTTTCACATTTTTCTTTTTTTGTTTTTTTTTTGTCCTCAACTCTCTTACCATTGTCATTACTATTGATAGATATGACAGTGGACCTGAGATGTGTCTCTCGTCAAATACTTCTGCTCTTCCGCCATTTCACCAGTGTGATTTATTAGTACTGTCATCTGAAGACCGCATGATGATATCAACGATACATATTCTGGTGAAACTGGTTAACTTGATGACAGCACGGACTTACTTGACACGTTTCATCATTTCTCAGTCTATCAAATAATACATTAAGTACAAAAGACATGTCACCATATCAGATACCTGAAAGAATCCCGCAATTTGTTTGAAGAGGACGCCTTAAAGCAGTGGACACAGGGTTTCGCGTTGCAAGTTAATATCTGCATGCATTAATCGCACTTGTCTGCTGCAATATGCAGGCAGTCCGTCTTACTTTCCCTTTCATATTCAGTTAAAAATTCCACCATACATAATTCCCCACAACATCAAACAAAGAGAGGCACATTTGTCTGGGGCCCTGTGGCCCAATGGATAAGGCGTCGGACTTCGGATCCGAAGATTGCAGGTTCGAGTCCTGCCAGGGTCGCCACATTTTCTCATCTGATAAATCCAAACGAGCGATTTGGTATTATTGCTCACATAAAATAATGGTTGCTATTGAGCATTCAGGCAAAGATGACTTTTGATCATTGAAGGTGCATAGAATATACCAAGTTAGCTGAACCAGTACAGTTGGAATTTCAAGGAGGCTGGCGGGGTTGCCAGTTCGAGTGGTTTCCCGGTCCTCTCACTTTTAATTAGTGTTGTATGGAAACGAACATTAATCATTGTTCATTTAACTTGTTTGTTAAGTAATAACCACAACAAGAAAGTTTTGAGGTTACCTCAAGTTTTTAAATATAATTTAATTTTGTTGAGAAGTCAATTTTATAACAAAACAAGCACTTCTGAGTCAAATTGGAGTGAAGTCCACGCGGCCTGCTACCATTTATGAATTTATGTATCCATTAGTGATAAGAAGGGGAATATCCTAGTAGAAAGTAGAAAAGAAGGAAACAAGTAGCAGCAGTGAACACTTTTGGCTCACATATTTGAGCGGCAGCAATCCGGGATATCGTATACCAGAGAGATTACATTTCAATTATGATCACTAATCACTGATTTGATAATGAGGTTACCAAAGAATAGGACAGAATGGTCATGATGACAGTAAAAGGATAGCCAAGTGCACTCACTTGACAGTCTTGTACTCTCTTGCTTCTCACAATGGTGATAGCCGTCATGTCTCATCCATAGGCTAATTGCGAGAAACGAAATAAAAGAAATTTGTGAAAAAAGAAGTTGAAAAAGCTTGAATCAGTGCTTTGGAGCATGCAAGGCGATAAAAGTAATCATCAAAATATAAAGCAATATGAAACAGTCTGATGGAAGTGACGAATAACTTAGGATGAACTTTGGGGGGATTATTGCAGTCATGATTTTCAACAGCAAAGGGATCCAGTTCAATTCAGTTCAACTCAGCCAACTTAATAGAAAGTAGTCAAATCGTCGAGTTATTTCATGAATAGGCGCTATTTCTCACCAGTAAAAAAGGCAGCGACGATCAACTTTCTACTTTCTGATTATATAAAATAGAAAATCATATAAAATTGAAAGTGGTACCTATCAGGAAATTAAAAAAAGTGAATGTAATTTGAGCAAGTTCAGAATTTTCAATTTAAAAACATTTTAATAAATGAGTTACATAAGATTCTTTCATTTGCTGGTCCGGTCAAAAAAAGGAACAAATCTGAAATTCCGAAAGGACCCCAAATATTTCAGAGGAGGATTGCAAAGTTTTTCCCTTTACAAAAATAATTCCATAAAAGCAATCGCCAGTCGCAGCAAGTTTATGCATAAAATTATTTCTTGATAGCAGGTTGGTAAAATGGTGGTTCGACCCTGGCAGGACTCGAACCTGCAATCTTCGGATCCGAAGTCCGACGCCTTATCCATTAGGCCACAAGGCCGTGTTATCAACTTAATTACCAGTAAAAATTGATTTTCAATCATTTGAAAATGTAAACTGACCGAATCTAAAGAAAAATTAACTATTTTTATGGGAGTTGTAGGAGAAGTATGGTCACAAAGATAGGGACTGGTTAATAGCAATGGCTGTAATGACAGGAAGACGGGTTGGTCGAGATTGAGTAAGTCTGCTTTCTTATACAGAATATCTGCTAGCTTCAAGTTCAAATAACAAGAATTGAACGCTCTCGAGTATGACCTCTCAGATCGATAATGAGCTTTGAAGGAAAATCCTTCAAATCTTTCTTCCATCCTATGTAATTTTTTTAAGTAACATCGATCAGATGTTAAACAGGCTGAATTCCTTGCATTTGAGCTTTGGTGCTTAAACAACGCGAAATAAAATGGAAATTGGGGAGGGGAGCCAACTTCAATCATTTTCTCCCGGTCCGGTAGGCTTTTAAATAATCTTGTTAACATTTCCTGGAGTGTTTGAAAATGAGAAATCAGTTCATATGAACTTCGGTTCTAAATAGTTAAGAAAAGAAGAATACCAAAAGTGATCCGGTAACTTCTGAGAAGCTTCTAGTGTTCTGAATAGGAGTTGTTTCAGGGGAGAAGGCTCATTACCAGAAAATAAAGGAGGGCGGTCGTATTCGGAGTGTGAGAGTTGGAGATTCTATGAAATGTACTGGAATTTTGAAATACTGGAATATTGGAACATTATACTAAAATACTGCATGTGTTGGTGATGGATTCAGTGCTGATCATTAGATAACTTTGGGGAAAATGAAATTAGAAACAGTTTAAATGTAAATTAACTGAAAAACGAAACCAAGGTAAGAGCGAAGAAATGATTCCTCTTTGCGTGCTGCTTGATCAGTTCCTGATAGCTGCCTGACCCTTTCGTTAAGGGAACGTTCCGCTTTTTTACTGACTTGGTCAGTTGCTCCAGTACTGTCCCAGTACTAAATATAATTATTTATTTATACGTTTTCCATTTGGAAAAATTGTTGGTTAATTTTATGGAAGAGTGGTAAAGATTTACCAGAAACTAATTTAGGTTGTCGCCGATTTTCTTTAACCGAGACAAAAACAGGGTTCTTTCTGCCTCTTTGGTTGGTAGTACCTCAAACTTGGGTAATTAAACCTTTATTACGATAAATTTATTAATACAACAAGGAACTTGCAATTACAACATCGATACAACAAATTAATAACGAAAACACTAAGAACAAAAAAGACTAAATTACGCCCGATACTTTGTATCTAACCGACCTCAATGAAACACATTTGTAAAAATGGATTAGCGTTCAGGGCCTTCCGCTTCCTCGACTGGAAGCGTCGAGGGAGGTTCTTTCTACCGTTTTATGATTACAAAAATTAGTTTCCTTATGGAGCACCCATTGGTATTGGATTCTTTGTTGGCGCAAAGGTAAGACGATATAAGCATGTAAAACAAAGATGTATGGCTTTTAAAAAAAGGGATTATTGTTTCTTTATTTCTACTCGCAATATCAGCGACATAGATAATTGTTTATGAAGAAAATAATTTTATGATTACTATTCAACAATCCAAGCCTTCTTCCCACAGATGAAGAAGAAGACAATCCTACAGCATTTCTTTCTCCTCAGTTCAATTAAAAAAAAGCATTCTCAAAGCAAACATTAACATTCTTCAACTGTGACAACATCCATGAAAGTGTGAGATAAGCTGAAAGATCCTGATTCTTGTTGGTCCAGTAGCTTCATAGTGAAATCATAGAGATTATTTGGATTGGAAATATCATCGGATCCTGACTCGAGAATTATTTCGAAAAACTGGGCAATATCTGGTAGAAAGAAAATAGCTCTTTTAATCACTCTACGCTCAAGGAAACTGTCAATTTTCAGGATTGTGAAACGACTTTGCATTCGGTATCACCACCATTTATGTAATCTAATCGAGAAAAGTTTTCCTGAATTGAATTCATCATCACATCCAGATCGTAAGTACCCAAAGATGTTTCTGCCAACATTGGCAGCACACTGCTTAAGCTAAATACTTTAAATGATTGAACAGAATGTCATGAGGTATTATAAATGCGATACATTTGCATCCCAGCTTATTCAAATGGATTTATAAAAATTAAACCAGAAAATAAAAAATGAAATTTGAAAAGACATCTGATTCACTTGTTTTATCCTTGGAGGCAATGGAATGGCAATGGGACGTATGAATACAGCAAAAAAAAATTTGTGGGAAATAGAAAAATAAATTGAAACGACAAAAATATTCTTTCATTCATTTCGCACGTTTTTTATCTAATTAATTATTTGCTCATGCACCCAGTAACCCCCAATTTTCCTATCATAATTTAGCTCGAAATTTGATTGCCAAAATAGCCAACTGATTTAAACAAAAGTGGACTTGTTAGAAAATGACCCACTCATTTTTTACAGTACCAAAAGGACTGTTCTCGATATAAATATACCGGAAAAAAGCCTAAATTTCAGTTTCCTGATCACTAAAACCAGTCATTAGCATTGTCAATCACAGTTCTCTCCATTATTAAAAATGTCCTTTTTCTATCAAATATCCTTTTCTTTTCCTCCTTTGGACGCTTCAGGTATGCAAATTTAACTGCTATTTTTATTCTTGTTTTCTACTTTTATTTTCATACAATTTCAAATTTTAATTTGATTGTGAATACAAATGCATTTCTAAATGTAACATATATATATATTTTATCTATCTTATCTGCGCTTGAAAACAATTTCAGATATCTTAAAATTTCTTAAAACAAATGAATGGAAAACTTACTGTAGTCTTTCTGAGAGAAACGGAAACACTGCAATAAGATAGGGAGGATGCTTGAATTGTCAGAAGTGCTAACCAATCCCAATTATTTCATAAGGGATCCAATTTTCAAGGATGAGCTTGAAATTGTACAGAAGCAATTTTTAAAGCGAATACGCCATTGATGCAGTAGGCATCTGCAGTGACATTAAATTGTTAATTAATATAGCAATTATTAATCTAACCTTATTTCCGACTATACTATTTACTAGGCCTTTGATTTTATGATGTTCCAACTATAAGCTACTAAATAAATGAAAAATATTTCATATTCATGCAAAATAATCTGCAATTTCTCCATTTAACAAACAAAAACTTGGTTAAATTTTCTTCAATGTAACACATTCTTTGTTATTCGAAGATTCCATTAATCACCTTTATTGTTTTCTCTAATTATTTATATTTTTGGATAACCAATTGGTACCTCACTGTCTCAATTAATTACTTCCTACTACAATTTGTGAAACGTTGTCCTACGCCGATTATTCTTACTAGTACGATTCTATCTTCGAATAGAGCTATTTTTGGTGTACGGGATTACAGTGATGGAAGTTCGGTACTGCGAAAATTTAGTAAGAAATTAGCTTTTTCACTAAAGGATTTGATGCGGCCAATCCGCTCGGAGCCAACCACTGAATTTTGGAAGAAGGGTCAGCTATTTCTTCTACTTTCTCGAATTTATCAATCCTTATCAATTATCAGTGGAAGACTAAACATGGAAATAAATCCATAACTGCTAACCTCTCTCCTCATAAATGTATAAAATTTTAATGGAGAAGTTATTAACAAGCCTGAAAGTTTGGAAGGGAGTAAGGTCAACATCGGAAGTCATAGATGAATGGTTACGAACTGTTAATTATAAAAGAGAACAGAACAACCTCGAATAGAATACCAGTTACAGAGTGCAAAGAATCGTTATTATAGGCATCATGGGAACAGAATAAACGTTTACATATTTGTTTTGACCCGAAAAAAATTTTCAATTCTTTCAAATTTTCAGAAGTTGCACTTATAAATGCTTCATTTTGTTCTAGAAATTTATAGAATAAAAAAAAAAGAAAAAGAAAAAAGTAATGGGAACAATTTTGAGTCTAAACTTACAATGTCGTCATGTGGAAAGAGAAATGGTCTAGTTGGGCAACAGTCCTCTCGCTGGCTAGAAATGCTGTAGAAACCTGTAAATGTCCTCGAGTTAGCAGGTGAGGAAGCGATAAGGGACAGATGGCCAACGATAATGGTAATAGCGGAGGTGGATAGGTGTAGTTGAAGTATTTGTATGCTTGGTAGATTAACGGGAAAATCTTGGAGATCGAAGCGTCACGGAGACATAATCGTTGCCAGCGTCACATGTACAAGAGAATCTGAGGTGTTAGTAGAGATTTCGAAAGCATTGAAAGACAAATGCGGTTAAGTTCTAAGAAAGGGTGCTCTGAATTGTCCCAAGCGTGGATTGCGTAGATTGTTGTTGGGTGTGGTTGAGTGGGAAAGGCGTTGGTAAAAACGGAGAGTGATTGGTGACAAAGTATCTCGCACGTTAAAATGTACCACTCAATGAGAAGTTCAAAGAATAAGATACGATATGCAATGAATTGATGAAAAAAGAGGAGTGAAGTGGCACTAAGGGAAGCGCTTCTGGAGCAGTATCAGGTTAGTTTTTACGATGGTTCCTTTTGAAATTGTCGTTCTTCTGAATGCAACGGGCAGTGAAAGGATATCTTCAAACCTTTCATAGCTGCCTTCAACAATGCTGAAAAGGAGATTCAGGAAACAGTATTGCATTAGGCGGAAGCCTAGCCTATCATACTCAGTGATAGGTTGAAGCAAGAAGGAGTTTTGTCCAGACGAGAGGAAGGATTGAAATAATAGCTAAAAATTAGTCCGAGACTGATTAGTCAGGAAATGAATTAATTAGTAGCTCTTCGCTGTTTCACAACGAACTATTATGGTTGTTTATGTATCAATGTATATAGGTATAATAAGTACAGATAAGTACAGGTAAATAAGTGCACATTAATCATAATAAGTATAGGTACAAGGTAAAGTAAATGTAGTCGACGGAAAGAAGACTGAAATCTCTATCGCCTTGTATTTCGTGATTTTTCGCCAGAAATGATATAGCGGCTAAATCCTCTTAAGTGAAGTAGTTAGAAGACAGCAAGCGTGATATCTTGAATAAAGGCAAAAGTTAATCTTTCAGTAAAATATCATTCGCTTATATTTGTTTTGAATTCCAACTACCAAATAAATACTTTTTTCATTACGGTTAGCATTTTTTTCCTGAGGAATAAACAGTTTTTTTTTTTTTTTTCCAGGAAAATTTGAATATGCAGCTACTAGAAACAAATAAAATGAATATCATCTCTCAACACTTCTCATTTTCTGCAGTTATTTGTTACGATTTCTCAGGTTATAAGAAAGTTCTTTACTTACCGAAGGCGTTTGGATACGATTTTGATTGATTATTATTGAAGTCTTAATCCGTTCTTGAATTGCACATAATTTAAAGTATGAGTTCTGATGAAATTTTGATGTCATTTATGCTTTCAATAAAGCTTAAAACATCCCGTATATTGGAGAATGTCGGAAAACAGGAAAAGTACGGCTTGTGCAAACGGCTGCCATTCCGCAACTGATGCCCATGTCTTCATGAATATCAATGATGCAAAGCTCTCCGGTAGCGACTATGAACTTCCAGCGATGGTTAATTTTTGCAAATGTTCGTCTTTGAAATCATTATTTTTTCACTGAAAAGTTCGAGTAATCCCAAATATACATATTTATTGCTTCCTATTGCCGATTATTGATATAACTAATAAGTAGGCTAATGTATAACAAACAGCGAAGTGATGCCATGTGCCGTTATACGGTGTGACATAACATAGAATAATGGTTAGACAGGTTAATCTCATTTAGCTTATCATCAGCCAACAGCTTTCACGATTTATTTCTGCAGCCGACGATGCAAGAGTGTGACGGGATATGTGGTGAAATTTACTCGATTGATCAATTAACTAAATTTCCTTGTCTACATGTCCTATGTGGAATGTGTCTTAATGAATGCTCACTTGTAGGTCAGTTACATTCCCGAATTTATTCCACTATTATTGTCCTTTCCAAACTATCAAACTTTCTCCAAACTTTAAAAATTTTAATGACTACTTGATATACATTTTCGAAGACATTTTTAAACTAAGGGCTGCTCAAAAACTCATGTGGCTTTATTTACCTCATGAGTTTATTTGAAGCTAATTATATTGTATTTAGAACGTGATGGTAAATTTTTGTGTCCAATGCGGGAATGTAAATATCTGAGTTCCATCGCAATACGTATGCATCAATCTGCTGCGATATTTTCTGATAGGAATAGCGATGACAAAAGAAACAATCCCGCTGAAACATCTTCTGTATGGCATATTCATAAACTGAAATTTCATGTGAAATGTTGGAAGTACGAAGAAAGTTTCAAAAAGCATGCAAAAAGTTTCCTCCATCAATTCAATTTAGAAAAAGTTATGGCTGTGGTGTTATTAAGACTTCGGAACAGCGTGCATCGAAATCGATATGACCTGTGAAAGAACTTCATCTTTTTGTCAATTCAAGTGTGACAAAAATATTTATAATTTATAGGATTCTAATTCTTCTTCTGTGGCACCAGTGGCTAAATTACATGCCTCGAAACTTTCGGAATCAGAATCAGATGAAGAGGGAGTGAACAATGATTGATTTGATTTCTGATAAAATTTTTACTAAGATGATAAACATTTTACTGCAATTGTTACATAATGGTCATTATTTGTTTAATGATGCAACCACCAAAATGATCTTCATAAAGTTCTATCATTCAATTTTAAAATGTGTAAATTTCCTCGGAAATACCTGATATAGTTGACTACTCGGGCATTGGAAAACACCCATGCCAATAATGTTCACATACAGGTTCACTAAAATGTTCAGTGTTTAACAATGTTAAACAATGTTCACTAAAACGCATTGTCAACAACTTATCCACTGTTCTTCCCATAATTTGAAGTTAGCGGTAATTACCAAACGGTACAACGAGTGAAAGTGAATAGCGAACACTAGATAAACTGCAAAGCTGAATTTCAAATAATATCAACTAATGTTATACCCAATTTTTAATTGACATTATTAAATTGAAATTTATTCCATTCTAGCTATCTTCATCCTGAAAGAATGAACTGACTTCAAAGTGATCCACTCTTTTCCAGTCGTAGCTATGTGGCCTTTCCACAGCTGCAAGCAAGAAAAACAACTTTTGGAAAGTGCTGCGGAATACTTTAAAATTTGAGCATTTCTATACTGTCCATTCTCAATCAAAGGTTAATTTCCACAACAGATTGATATGATCTAAGCCAAGTTTTAATATAATTTAAAGTTGTTGATATTAGCAACAACCCCATATTGCTGCATCATTTCAAATAAAGATAAACTTGCTGATCGTATTAAAAAAAAAAATTAAATGAACAACTCATCAATCCACTGACAGAAAACATGCCCTGCTTGAAGAATAAAAAACCTTTTAATTAAGCCAATTCTTTCCTTCCCCTGTTGTTATACCATTTAATATTACATAAATGGAATGCTACAAGTGTAATCTGTGGTAGTATTCGGCAGCATGTATTACTGCATCATAACTCTCGATCCAGATCACTTTTTGAGAGTTCCATGATATATCTATTTTCATATTTAAACCGACATTCTCGAAACTTCCACTGATTTGCGAGAATCAGAAATCCTTGAACTGTTGCATAATCATCCTTGTATGCATGCATGCATGCATGATTTGAATTTATATCACATCGAACGTCTGTCTCTTTCACTGGATTAATCAAGCGGTCAAGTTCAATGCGACAGGAAACTCCAAATGTATTGAACTCTGCTTTCAAAGCTAAGTGAAAACTGTTACGTCTTTTTTCTTTATGTCAAGACGTAGATGAGTCATATTTGTTTTGTACATTACAAATAATTGTCGACAGACTATCGAAACACTTCCAGGAACTAAACAAGCAGTTCGAGACAAGAAGTAAAATGAGATAGCGCTGCAACAGTGCGTGTTGGCACGAATCCAGTAAACAGTGAATGTTTGTGGCGCGAAATGTGTGTTGTGTTTTGGTTTCCACGTAGTCTGTTACGCGGGTCACATGAGCCTGAAGTAGGGTCCGTATCCTTTGATAATATTTCTCTGTATCTTACCCGAGAAGACTGATTTAATCAATTAAACATCGGCAAAGAGCCTCATTGGTTAGTTAATTTTCATCTTCGGACACTATTTTTGCTGAAAAATCGAGATTGGTTAAAGTAGATAAAAGCATAATTGGTGCATACTGGCCAAAATAAAGGTGCAGTATATCATGGCACTTCCTCGGCCATATTTCTGAGTCATTGCTTTCGTTCTAAATAAATTTAGTGGTGAGAGATGTGTGAGTTTTCCCGCTTTTACTTGTATCTTTATTTGCTTTAATTTTTAATTTTATTTTGAACGAAGTAGTCTTTCGTATCGATTACAATAAATTGTTATGTTGAATGCTTAATTGATCTCATTCAGATAAGATTTTGTTCAACTTTTCGTCGTACTTTTTGTAGTTCACAAGGTTGGATTCGCGGATTCTCGAAGTTTTCCATTTACTGTAGAATAATTTTTCGCTTTTGTATAAAGCATACCGCCTAAGACGGGTCGGGTATAAAGATAACGGTGATAATGAGTCGTTTGAGACAAACTAAAACCACACAACTTGCTCTATATGAAACAAGGGGAGATAACAACGATAGAATCTTGACGTTTAAAAAAAGGAAAGAAACTCCAAATAACAATGCAAGAATTGGTTAATTTAGTGGATTATTGAAGGAACGTATAATCAGCCGAATGACGGCAGCATCTTTTAGAGAAATTCAATAAGACCTACCAGTGGACCTCGAATTTTAGCAATTAGAAGTGGCGTATTCATTTCATTGATTAAATTATATGGTGCTTGCAGTTAATTAGATTTAGAAAAGGATGTAATAGGTTTACAACTGATCAAATATTTCGTAATTCATCTTACGGAAATATGAAAAAAGTAAGATTTTCTCTAAAGAAATGTTAGCTTGGCTTTCCTCAGCATTTTGTAAAAATACCAAATCCCATTCGTAATTTGTTTTCTAATTCGAAGTCACTCGACTCACCGACAAAAGTCTTAACTTATTACGAGTCTGATTCTGCCGTAAGACTGTAATTGCCGGTGAGTTCATACCATATTAAACCGCCAAGAAAATAGTGAAATTTACTTCTTTTATTTGAGGCTGGAATAGATGTTTCAGGACCGAACATTGCTTAGTTAAGTCGCCAGTATTATGGTATCCATAAGTGTGATATCTGTAATTAATTTAGTTCCTAAGCGCGGAGTGTTTGTACTTATTTCCATAAACAGATTCCAACGGTTTTTTTGCATAAGTGTCATCATATATATATATACATATTATATATATTGACCGAATTAAAGATGTTTCAGGAGTTAAACATGGCATCGTATACACCGACAACACGTCAAGATCATAATGGGAACGGTCATCAACATAATGTCTATACACGATGCGGATTCGAAGATGTTGAATTCAACATACCGGTTCCTTCTTTCAGACGGTGACTTTTTGACATGCACTAACTGTCTATTTTTGCTATAAGGTGAGATTGTAGAAACAAAGGTATTTTTTGAAACAGTTATTATTAATAGATATATTGTTCTGTGCATCCTGTTTTCCTTTCAGGACGGAGCACACTTTAATGGATACCTTTCGAGAACGTTTAAATTTGCGTACATATCGTGAATCACTGGATACATTCACTTGTGATAATGAAATGCTTGATGAAGGTCTGATTTGCATATCATTTTCGCAGGATTCTACTGGTCTACCAAATTTGGTTAACAAACGAAAAAACTAGGCTTCTCGACTCCGGTTGGAAAGCTTAGTTTTTTCGTTTGTGAATGTCTTTTCATTCATTTATGCTCATCATTTTTAAAACTGCATTATCGCCTGCATTTTTACAACTGGATTTAGTGTACATGCCTCACAATAAAAAGACAATCAAAAAAGTGCACATACCTATTGCAGCTGCTTTATTATTGGAAATTGTAGATCTTGGACATCCGCCAGCTACGCATGACACACCACCCGGAACTCATATGGGTTCATTACAGTCAGATTCACTACTCAGTACAACGTTGCGATCAAGGTCTCGTTCAGATGCAACAAGCACTCCATTATTTTGCCGTCAGAGTGTAGGGACAATAGTGCTCTTTCCAAATAGATTAGAAAAACAATCAAAGAGTGAGTTGTTTTATCATGTATTAATATTACTGTTAATAGCATCGAAGATGGATCAAGAGAATTGTTTCAGCAGTGAAATATTTCGAAATATTGTCTGGTTTTTCCCATCTTTAATTTACTAACCAATTAAAAAATTTATCATTGCGTTGTGAATGCATTTCCAGGACATAACCGTCGTGTTCGTAATGAAAGACATAGCGTCTGCTTAACAGATTTACCAGAATTGAAAAGCTGTAGTTGGTCAGTGCCATCGAATCATCTATTTGCTGATGTAAAACCTGCCAATGTTTCTGTCACAAATGTTAATGGTCAGTGGCATCGACCATCAAGCGCAGTCGAAATGAGGTCGAGCATGTGGAATCTGACGGTACTAATTCTCACAATCTACAATTACATTTGATTTTTCTAGCGTGTAATTGATGTGGTTGAATTAACACTGAAACTGGCATTGGTAAACAGTCTTCGCTATGATGACATGAAAACCTCTCAGCTTTCGTTTCGCATCAGTATTCATGCAATGCTCTTATAACTTACTTTGCCATAAGAAAAAAACTTCTTTGTTATAAAATAAAAATAAAACGTCCGACATAAGTGATTGTCGATTTTGATCAGTACGATAATTTTATTTGCTTTTGTTATTAAACTTTGACGACATGTTGGACGACAAACATTTTTAGTCAGATGGTTGAAAAAGCATTCTAAAAATAGCACACCAACTTCACTTTTCAAGAACAGACGTGAAAGAATAGGTATGAAATTCGTATCAATGAAAGAAGTTCAAAATCATTTGGTTTTTTTATGCTGTGTTGTCTTTTCCATTTCAGTGTCACTCCAGTCCTATCCAGATCGAGGTTGATAGAAACGATACATTTGAAAAGCACCAGCCTTCCTTAAGTAGGTTCCGAACCGTTTTTGCAGAAAGCCAGTTACAACATTTAAACCTTTTGCTACATATAATACGTCGGTTTCCACTTTCTTTTAAGGAATTCAAATAAAATAGTGTTGATTAATAACTTTATGAAAGCTTTATATCCATTCGGTTACGTTGCATGTAATGAAAAATATGAAATTAGTTAATGAAATTAGTCATAAGTTAATGTTTTTGAAATTAGTCAAAATATGAAATTAGTCATAAGTTAATGTTTCTGTTAACGCAAACTTTTTCCAGTACATACTAGCCAGAAACGTGGAGTTTTTAATACCAATACGTTACCAAATGCACGGCGTGTCGAATCGGAACCGATATCACCATTCAGTAACTATGCAATTCTTATCAAAGAGGTTACGTTTATTAAAAAAAATTTAAATCTATTACCACTTTTTGTGAAATGAATGCAATTTATTTTTTTGCTGTGTATTGTTCAAATTGTTGAAAATTTGTGAAATATGATATGAAATGAATGATTAAAGAGTATGGGTGATAAAGTCAGGATGCGAATGATAAACCGATTAGCGATCTAGATCCAATCCACCTAATTCTATGTTAGAATAAGCAATTTAATTCAAACACTATCAAAATTAAATAGTGATACCAAATTCTTAAATACATTTCACAGTGTTTGTAGTTATTAAGTTGTAACTAACTAATTGTAGCTTGGAATTATTAACAAGTTAGGAGTGACGGAAGTAAGAATCGATGATCTTTCTAATGATCGAATGTCAGTTCTTATCAAAGGTTTATTAAATAGTAATGATCTGTTATTTCATGTCTTAATGTATTCATAAACAGGTTTCATTGTTTTAACTGCTTTGAGGAATGATTTTTTCCATTTACAAGTGTGTAAAAACAAAAATTGGGATTTTTGATTTTTGAAAAAAGTCATTCCTAATTAGGAAGAACTGGGTTTTCATTTTGATCGATTTACTTAAAGTAATGATTCCAATCGTTTTCGAAGTCTTTTATAAGCCATTTTTTTAGCGGATTTTCGATTGCACAGGTTTCGTCTTTTAACACAATTTTTCTTGTTCACTTATAAAGAAAATTTCAAGTTTATTTTTAATAAGTAAACCAGTTTGTTTCTGTTTGTCAAATTGATTGAATGGAACTAAAAAATGTATTAGGTTTTGGGAATTACTGTATCAGGTTTCGGGAAATAAAAGCAATTCACCTGGAATTTAGGTTAAATGAAACTGAATAGATTTGTATTATTACTGCTCAGTCCAATGTTCTCTGATATTTCGAAAAGGATTTTGAAGAGCTTGATATTTCATAAGTTGTAAGAGACTAGTTTATTATAATTCATTATTAAGGAAAATGAGCATGAAGTGTTGAAGTATTGGAAAGATTTTTTTTTGACATTCCCTTCTATGGGGCCTAATATGTATCTTTTTGCGAGTGATATGAAATCCTTGTTTAACGCAAACAGGTAAAAGTGCTTAGTTTTAAAGTTACTCAAATCTAACAGCAGTATTGCTTAATTCTCTTCTGTCATCCTTTCATCTCATTACTAAACATTGCTGCGTCATGCACACTTCATTCTCCATCTCGGTGAATTTCGTGCAGTATGGTTCGTGCGCCAACGTACACCTTTTCCATATATTTCCGAAGTTTGAAAGTAACAATATCCTTGCTTTATTCCGTATTCTGAAACTGTTACATTTATTTTGTCTAATTTTTAGTTTACACATTCAGTGAGCAAGTTCATTCGTAATTTAGTGCGCCTTATCTTTCTCGCTCGAACCATTCTTGAATATTTCAGCAACGGCGATTGGTTTGTTGTTTTTGATAATTTTCTACAAAAAAAAAAAACGTTAAGCAAGCGGAAGCATAGCTATATTACTCCAGCCGGTTAGTCCGCGATGCATTTCTGCTCTTTCTCATAATCTCCTCTTCATTCCAACCCTTTTCTATGGGAATGCGTTCTTTGATGTAAAATTAAATTCGTTTAGCAATAGTCGAACTAATTTTGCGATAAGTACCATTGGAGTTTCCTTTTTTTTTGTTGCTTTTCTATTTTTGTAATCCGAACCTTCTTCATAATTCTCTTTATCAGTCAGATATTTCGATAACGTTGACGCTATCATCTTGCGATCATCATGAAATCGCAAGAACCTATCTCCAAGACACAGTATGTACTCCTCTGGAAGCTGTTGCAGTCTTATGCGACATCACTTAGATCTTTACAGTTTTGTTTGAAAAGATTGAAATTCATCTCTTATACGTGTTTAACCAATTCTACATCCTTATGGCTTGGAAAATTATAGCCAATCGTATTAATGCTTAATAATGAAGACTTGAAACTGTTTATCAATGAATGAATTACATGGAACCTTAGTTCATCTTCGATTCAAAAAAATAAGACTGGTGAGTTTTCGAAGTACACTTTTTCCGACAAAAACAAAACAAAAAAAACTTCTTATAGTGGTCAGAATATGCGAAGTGTTAGGGAAGCAATTCTTAGGTATCTTTAAAAATGAACTATACAGAACATTCTCTCCTTTGCGAAAGAGATAATGCTTTATTACGAAGTATGTGCCGCACATTACGAAGACTTGCTTATTTCATTGTTAGAATGACGAAATATAGAACCTGCGAGTTAGCATTATTTCGAGACTTTGAAACCGTTCTGAAAAGTTGTAAAATCTTTTTTTTTAATTGTGAGATCTTTTTTGTTAACCGTAAATTTTTTTTTTTAACTTCAGTTAGATAATCCCGTTCTTATTATGGCATGGCGATTAACATTTCACAAATTTTTTTGGCATATCACCCGTGTAAGACATCAATTAAAATGTATCGAAGACTACAGTTCATTCGAGAAACATCATTCAGATGTGATTATATTACTTAGGTCTTTATTGAAATTTTAAAAATTTCCCGTGTCTCTTTCCCTATATTTTGTTATCAAAATTTTTTTCTGTTTAGAGAGTTATGTTTTTCTTGTTTAAAGAGTTATGTCTTGTAGGAGACGAACGCCCTATGGATACAAAGTTTCGGAAAACTTTTCTTAAATGTTTTATATAGGATGAATTATTAAAGTTTATCATCCTCGAAAACATGGATTAGAGAAATGAAATGTTTAGAGAATTATGTGAATTATTTTGGAAAACATTTCCTTTACAACCTATCAATTTCAAGATTTAACTGTATTCATACACTGTATACCACTAAAACGATGTTTATTAAAAAATAGCTATTAACAATTGCTGTCAAAAATCTCCCAACTTTTTAAAATCGCAAAAACTTTAAAATCACAAAATCTGGCGGATTTTCACTATATTTTTTAATTGAATTAAAACTTTTGCTGCACATCACTTGTTTACCTTTGAAAAGTGAATCGGTTGTACTCCAGAAATCGACGAAGCAGTGCGACAAAATATGAAGTCATGAGAGATAAGTGTGATTTGTATAGGATTTTTTGCAAATATTCCTTCGTTAGGTTAGTGGCGTACTTGGATTCCTGCATTTAGCTGTTCGGCACTTATTGGATTTTGTAGCTCAGTTTTTAATACATATAGCATCAGTTTTAAAATCTAGCAATTCTTCATTAGAAACTATCGAACGAACTCATCTAAAATACCTCATGTTTGGATAAGTCGGATGTTTGCTTTTTTTAATACTTGATTTGCTGCGACAACCATCAAAATTAATGACAGTTATGGAAATTTTTGCTATTACTGTTGACTGGTTTTGTGGAAAAACGGAAAACAGCATTGTAGGGAAAGACTTATAAAATAAACTTCATTAATCACTAATATTGGAAACAATATACAGCAGTGTTGGTTTTGCAGGAAATTATTAAAGTGTGAAAAGTTTTAGGGAAACATTAACACAATCTTAAGTATGTGGAAGTTCATAATGTTAATTTAAAATATTTCTCGGTCTTAATATTTCTAACAATCTCCTGTATTTTTATTTAATCACCTTTTAGGTTTATTATCATAATCATCAATAGTAATAATAATAATAATAATAATAATAATAATAAACAACAATCATAGTAACGACAATAACAATAGCGGGTAACTAATTTTTTAAGTGATATACTCCATTTCCTACTGAATAACTTTTGGGATGGGCATATTTCCATAAAGGTTGCGAGAATTTTATAGCTGTTAGTTGTATGAATATGCGATCAAAATCCTGTCAGTGATGTATGAAATCACTGACAAAATTTTGAGCACATATTCACACGACTAATATATATATGCACATATAAAGGTTAGTTACCTTCTGGCAAGAAGTGTCATATTTACAAAGCACTAAGAAAAGAAGGAAACATAAATATTATCCCATATTCGCTTTTTGTATAATTGTATTCTTGGTATTAATTTGAAAAGCTGAAGCTAAATATATTACAAGAACTGAAACTCTTTTTTTTCACATATTTATTGTTGAGTCAGAGCTAGCCTTAATTTATTAGTTCTCAAATTTATAGCATTATCCTAGACGTTTCGTTTTACTTTTAATCTTATTCCACGAATAGATTTGCTTGTATAGTGAATGTTTACTCTATTCTTATCTTAACGTATAACGGATTTTCCGTTCTTACACATTCTGTGAACTTAGTGCTAGGTCATAAAATTCGGGTTTTTCAGATTTCCATATCATTTTTATATGTTTCGTTTGTTCTTTCGTAATATTCCATAATTTCTTAAAATTCTTCCTTATTTTATACTTTACACAATGGAGGCTTTCGGATAATTAGTTTGTTGCATGTTTCCTGCAAGTACACTTCTACGACTAAAAACGAAAAAGATTCTGTTCATGCAAAGGGATCTTTTTTTTTGTCAGTGCCAAGGCAATTGAATAACTCTGTTGTTTGTACTAGCACGACACAACAATGACGTTTTGGCTATCTAAAATCTTGGTTGCGGAAATATACAACGAAAAACCCTTCATTGGAATGTGATCGACCACTTTCCGTTTTGAAAAATTCAAATACTGTTGGAAAATTGAGCGCTTCCTTGAATATATCAAGATATAAGTGTAGCGTTTTAATTCTGCTTATACACTTTCAATGATCTCAGTCTGTCTTTCATTTCTGCAGTTTCGGAAAACTGCTCCAGTCGTCCACTGTCCTCCAACCTCTTCATTGCTAGTAGATATGAACATCCAACTATCCACGATTTTAAAGGATGGCATTCAAATGCAAGAGAGAGTGAGTTTTTATTTTCTAGTTAAAGTTGTGAATTTCAGAGCCCATTTAATTTGTCGTCCGAGCAGTTACCATTATACCCTCCTTATGATGGAGCTACTCCCGAATTCTTCAAAGTTATTTTCGGTTTGCTTTACCTATTTCTAACAATTTTCTTTATAATTTTGATACACTGATAAATTTACTTTCCTACATCTTATTTTTGCTATTTTCAAACTAAATAATCTTCAAGAAATATGAAATGAAGTTGCAGAAAGTCAGGATGCTGTTTATTCATCATTCATGCGCGCACACAAATGCTACGATCTAATTCCTACGAGTACGAAGTTGGTGGTTTTTGATACTGAACTGACGGTTAGATTATTTATCTTCAAATTCAAAATTGTGTACTGATTTCAGTTTCACGGCCACTAATCATAAGACATAGATGCGCCAAAAAAATTCCAGACTAGTTCAAAGATGGAATTAGTTATTAAAAAGAATCAGATAAAAAGAATATAAAAAACTTATTATTTGGTATAGGAATATGTGGCTATCTTAGGTATTGCTAATTGTAACCATGCTTTGTAGTTTCTAATGAATTTCGACCTCTTTTTCTCTTTGATAGCAATGTTTTTGCCAAGCGAGACCTTATAAATACACTACTTTTGTATTACTTTACTAAACGGAAATACTAAGTGTTTAATAGAAAAACCCTTAATTTCTATTTCCTTTCATTTTACTGATTCGTTTCCCAATGTTCTAGTGGTGATTAGTTCCCACAACTGCTTTACAGGTGAAAAAGGCCTTTTTTGCTCTTATCTACAATGGAGTTCGGGCAGCCCCACTATGGGATAGCAAAAAGCAGGAATTTGTTGGCATGCTTACTATTACTGATTTTATTCGAATACTTCAAAAGTATGATCGTTTCCATTTATTTTGGAAATGTTGCAGTGTTACGAAATGCCAATATCTATAAGTGTTGTACTTTTCGATTTTCATTCATTAATCTTTAGCTTCTTCAACACTTATTATTGTGTAAACATCTACTACTGGAACTGTAGGAATACTTTTTATGAAATCTATTATGGCTTTGCTTTAATAAGTTGTATTCTCTGTACATTTCTTTGCTTCTAAATGCTTACTGCGGATAGAGCATTTGAATTGTGTCCCGTAACACTATGTTTTTAAAGTCTTTCTTGTGCTCTTTTGCGCATACGGTGCAGTCTTGAAATGATTTATGCACATCATTGCACAGTCTGAATCATTTTTTTTAATGAGAATTTTACAAGAGAATGGCGAGAGTTCCCAAAAGATTCAAACTGGTTAGCTATTTCATATCCGAAGCCTGTCACTTTTTATATGAAAATAGGTGGCATGAACATTTTCATGGCTACCTAATTTTTTAAATATATTGGCTTTTATTAAGTTATGTGTTATAGGTATTATACAAAAAATGGTTCGAAAAATGAAGGTATACAGGATCTTGAGAAACATAAAATAGCGAACTGGCGTGACGAACTAGAACGGGATGGTCATCTGAAACCACTGGCGTCCATAAGTCCTTCTGAGAGGTTTCCAAACCCTTGATCTAACATTTTAATTTTGTTATATTTTTCAATTACGAACTTAACTCGAAACTTCTGTTTTAAACGTTTTTGCTTTCGAAAATTCCGTTTTAAAAAAAACGTTATTCAGCCTTTACCAAGCAATTCATGTTCTCTGCAAAGAAAAAGTGCATCGTTTGCCAGTAATGGAAGAGTGTACTGGTAATATCGCTTTCATCCTTACTCACAAGCGATTGATAAAGTTCCTTTATTTATATGTTAGTTTTTTTTTTCACTAGTTTTCATTCTCAAAAATTTTCTTCATGAAATATTGTTTTTAAAGTAAATTTGATTTGGCTTCAGCTACTTTTACTGTAAGAAATAGTTTAATTCTAGCACCTTTCTTTTTTACTTTTTTTTGAACCTTTGAGAAGTCTATTATTAATAAGCTGATTAAAATTTGAATTGATTTTAGAGAATAAAAGTTGTCGCAGTAATCTTTCCTGTGATCAGTTTTTGTGCAATCTTTGAATTCAATCTTGAATGTGCAATCTTTTTTCCTGAAATAGATTGAAGAAATTAACGGACGATTTAGATGATTGATTTGCCCCGTCCATCCTTCATGGAGAAGACGCCTCTTGAGTTGGGGATCGGTACATGGAATAATGTTTTAACAGTTACTCAGAATACTGCACTAATAGATATTATGGATATATTCCTTTCTAAACGGGTGTCTGCTTTACCTGTATTGGATGACAATGCGAAAGTACGTTCTATTTCCTGGAAATTCAATTTGAAACTTTCATTGTATTTCATCATGTTACTTTTTTTTGTTTAATGGAATCGTCAATATGTGTAAGTTTATGCAGTTATGCCAGGAATATTGTTGGTGCATCGCATCATGTACCTGGTAAATATTCATAAAGAATAACCAAGTATATTAAAAAAATTAACCGTGACATCTTACAGGTTGTTGACATTTATGCTAAATTTGATGCTATAAATTTAGCAGCTAATAAATCATATATTGATTTGGGTGTTACAGCGCAAGAAGCTTTACGGCACCGTGTTGATGTAAGCTTCAATTTAATCATTTCTGGTTAATTTTTTCTAATAGATGAGAAACCCAGCAAATTTCTTAAAGGAATTCAATTTTTCAGTGGTTCGAGGGAGTACGTTGTTGTTCACCTGATGATTCACTAATGAAGACTGTAGAAATAATAGTTCGTGCCGAAGTACATCGATTGGTGGTCACTGATCACGATAAGAAAGTGATAGGGATCATCTCACTTTCAGATATATTACGGTTTTTGGTTTTAGAACCACCAGTTACACCACCTGGAAGTAAGTCATTTTGTTGTGCATCTGATCACCTGAACAGTAGATTTCAGCTAATCATTTGTGGATTTAGAGCTTTATTCGGCTGAGTCGAATGACGTAGTTTGATGCATCGAATTTCATTCACTTCGGAAAGAATCGTAGCACTCGACGGAAGTAGCTATTAAAAAAGTGGTAGCTGAAGTAATTGAATTGTTCACCTTAATAAAATAATATTTGCATTAAAATCAGGTGATATGAGATATCTATATATTGGTTAGTTTGAAATTCGACTTATAAAGTTTTCGTTGTAAAGCAGGAGAGCTCTTATCTCACTGTTTTTTAATACAATTAAACAGTTGCTTCCCATTCATGTAGAAGTATTCTGACTACTCAATACTTTTGTTTAGTGTTCAGTAATAATTTAGATGGTACTCCTGACTTTGCAATGGATGATATAATTGGAAGTAATGATGAAGAAATATATTGCTCGTGAAGTAAGATTACCTCCAACTTATTCAGTAATGAAGAAGAGATCGCTTTATTCTAAATTTGTATTCCAAGCGCTTTTAGCCTCTTGTAAATATTGTCTTCCGTTGTTTTTATAATAGATTCAGTACCTATTGTTTTTATTTTATATCACCCTTTGATTTATTTGTGTTGTGGTGCATTTCCGTAATTTTAGTTTCTTTACTATTGTTTCATTACAGAAGTAAGAGATTTGATCATTCGTTCAGAATTGAGAACGTACTCGTAGGTACATGTGAAACTGGTGATGGATATTGTTCTGAGATTAACTGCTTCGTACTTTTTTTGTATTTTTTTTTTTTGGGATTTGATACTGTAAAGCATCAGTTATTTTCATCATGTTATTTCCATTTTAGGTATTTTTTACTTAGAATACATGTCTTCCAGCAATGTGTTTTCAGAACATTTTCCAGCGATATTGTGTTTTTACCATTTAATATAGTACATTATAATTTAGATTGGGAGGGTTCATCTCTTGTTTTTTACACTATCAAGTTAAGTAATTGATCTGGTTTTTGTGCGATAGAGTTTTTTGAGGGTTGAAGCTGTGCGGAAGTCTCAGATCGAGAAGTGGTGATTGTATTCCGTAGGAATTATTTCAACATTATATATATATACATATATATAAAAGTTGCTTTATGAAAGAATGTATAAAAAAAGGTCCAAAACAAGTTCGGGTCCGCTTTGCTTGATGATAACAATCCAAGTGATGGTGCTATTATCAGGAAAGATATGAATGAATCCATTGGGTCTCATCCACATCGCATAATTTCGGGTTCATTGTGCTACTTTTCATATGTTTATTTCAAATAAATTTATTTTATTGTTTATCTTACGTATATTTGCAGTCTTGTCGAAAGGAAAAAGTTTTTTTTTTCTTCAGGTTTTTTAAAATTACTTGGAACAAAACATTTCATGATTGAAAGTAGTATAAAAGGAAAATCAAGTGTACAATCAGCGAAGCGAAGAGTGTACTGGTTTTGTACCCACTTGCCATTAGTGTTACCTTGCTTAAATTTGAATTTTGTATCCGGATGTTTTCATTAATCGTTGTAGGAGCCTTGTTAATTTCCAGTAAATTTTTCTATTGTTAATTTAAAGACCACAGGGTTTTGGAGAAGATTAGGGTTTGAAATGATTGAAACCATTTATTGAAGAGTTTGTAATTTCGGTGGTAAAGTTGGTCACTTTACCAGATCGTATACTTTATGCGTGTATTAGATAGGTGTGAATGGGTTTGAATTGTGGTTTAAGATACCGATAACTAAATCCGGATCTCGGTTAACTCCTTGTTTCATCTTTCTCATGGGTAGTCAAATAGTATTTCACTGGATCGTTTCCGACTAATTAGTTCTTGTAAGAAAAGGAGGAATATAGAGCTGCAAGCTTCTGAGGCTTTCCGTTTTTTCTTGGAAACGGCGTGATGGCGAGCGTTATGTTATTGTAGCTTAAGTTATGGACGGAAACTTATGAGGTGAGGTGGGGGCAGGTGGTCACTCTACCAGAAGGTGTATTATCAGAAGAAGAGTAATACCACCTTAGATTTTATATTCAAGCAAGGTCCTATAGATACAGAATACGGATAAGTATCCTAGTGGAAGCATGACGCTCTTCTTTTATTCAGACGCGCAATATAAAATACATAGGTTACAGAGGGAGAATGCTACCGTTCGGTGGACCTCCAACATTCCCTCCTTTGATGAATATACCACCAAACGCTGCTGCTGCAGCATCACAAGCAACTTACTTGCAGCAGCAAGTTATCATGCCACCACTGCAAAGAAGTAAGTTTTTTTATTATGAAGTTCAGTTCAGAAATTTTCATGACATCGCGAATTTCCATAAAGTCATTTGTTACAAATATCTTCCGGGACTCACAAGGAATTCTATACTTGACAAAGACTACACTCTCTTACATTCACATAATCCTTACTTTTAGTACCGATGATGGCCGTGAGTTCAGCACCAGCGCCGCTACAACTTCCCCAAGTATCGGTGGCTTCACCTGCTACTACACCTCGACCAATGCTTGTTCCACCCCAGATGCAGATTGAAATAGCTACTGCAGCGCATTCTCCTCGCACTTCCTCCATTGGTACTACCCTGATCACCAGTGATGTATGTCTGTTGATGCATAGTAATATATGATATTTTGATATGGAGTATATGTTCAGGAAAGAATTCAAACATAATCATGTATTGTATCCGAATTAGAGAAATTATCTATTTTGCAATTTTTTCTCAGTTTTTTTTAGTTAAAACATTTAGATTTGGTCTGAGCATACAGCATCTGATGGACGTGTATATTACTATAACAAAATAACAAAGCAATCTTCATGGCAAAAACCGGATGAGTTGAAAACTCCAGAGGAGGTATGTAATGGGTAGTTTTTCTCAACATTGCATTTGTTGTGAGCATTCCACACCTAACTTATCACTCTACTTTTTCACTACTTTCCAGAAAAAATTGGCTGCTGCAAAACTTTGGCGTGAGTACAAAACACCTGAAGGACGACCTTATTATTATAATATCGAAACTAAAGAGACTACTTGGATTTGTCCTAAAGATTTCGATCCCGCAGTTGTAACAAAGGGTGCTTTCTTTTCGTAAATTGTCATCAGTATGCAAGAAAAGATGTTACAAATTTGAATCATTGTTTCCAGATTAATCATAAAAGCAAGAATCCAGTTCAGGAATATTATTTCATGCTGTATACTATTACTATGTTACCAAAGGATTTCTTATTCAAACCTGGAAGAAAACTTATGACAATACTGGGAAATTGTTTTAGTAAAAAATGGTGCGGAATCGAAAGGAAGTGACACATTAAAAACAGAACCACAAAGTGGTGGAGAATCTGAATTGGAGAAAGCAGTGTTGGCCACACTGAAATCGCTTGAGCAACCTAATGTAAAACATAATCTTTCTTGAGTGGGATTCATTGTAATATAATCTGGTTATGGATTGATTTTCAGACATCTCAATCGTACCTTCAAAGTTTTAGGAACAAACAGAAAATACGAAAGAAGCAGATGCAGAAGATGCAGAAGAAGAGAAAGATTTGAAACAGAAGCAAAGTGATAAATTCCGAGATCTGCTGCGAGATAAGGTAAATTAATGCTTTTAAGGAAAATAAGACAGTTGAATGGATCAGGGAAATGTCTTACTTTCATTCTTCCATTGTTTTTGGATTTCATTCATTCATTATTTAACATTCATTATTTTTAGTATAATGAGGGGAAGATATCATCTACTAGTTCATGGGAACAAGCAATGAGATACATTCAACATGATCCTAGATTTCGAATTTTAAATAAAGTGAGCGAGAAAAAGCAGCTATTCAATGCATGGAAAGTGCAGAGACAAAAGGAAGAGAGAGTACGTCCCCGTTTTTTTTTTCCATTACTGAGTTTCAAAGACTTTTGGTTGTTGCCATGTATTGATTTTCTTTGGCACTGTCCTTCCGTTTACGTTAATTAATTTTTCATGATAACGCATGGCTGTTATTTTTGGTAATCCAGTTTCCCGCAAAACTGCAGCAAGCGGTTAAAGATTGTTGTTCGAAATACTTACTGGTGATCAGATGCCGGCTACTTCAAATTACTTTCCAAAAGTGTATTGTTCAGGATTACTCGACTCGAATTCAATTGGAAAGAGCTAAATCCGAGTCGAGTAATTCCCCTTGTTTAAGTCGGGAACGCACCTGAATTACGCACTACTAGAGATGCTATTAGAGTTCGGAAATGGAACATGATTAAGATTGGGAATGCTCTTTATTAGGTTTGGGAGAGGGAAAATGGTGAGGTAGCAGTTGTTTTTTTTTTCTCTATTAAAATTTTGAATACAAAAATTATTTATTTAGGAAAACAAGTTTATACAGTAGAGCATAGAATACATGATAAGTTGTGATTAATTTCTTTTTGTTGCAACAGAGACCCCTATTCGCTTTTTCAAGCTGAGTTTTTCATTCAGCACCACTAGGGCTTTCTGATAGTGCTCATCTTCGCTCAGTTCAGGCCACGTTTTTTCGATCGTCTTATAGAGGTCGGTGAATTTTTTACATAGTGATTCAGACTCTTCATTACTGATGCTGATAGCCCCCAGTGAACGGAATTGTTTATAAAATCGCCTGAAACAAGCGTAAAGTGCTAAGGTGTATTATCCGGAAATCAAAACAATACCAGTCATTTTTAGCTGTGATTTAAACATTTTTTTCCTTTGATATGTAATGCTGCAGCATTTACGGAAACTTCAAAAAAAAAAAAAAAAACAACAACCCACGCCATAGCAATATCTTTTCTGTAATAGAGTTTTCTAATCGGATAAGATACATTTGCGGAAGATTCAAAATGTGGTGGATTAGCTACATATACGTCGTACCACAATGGCCTCTCTTTCCACTTCAGCTGTCTGGAACGTAACAGTCCCGTAACTCTGAAGTAATGCTGAGACATTAGAATACTTTTACCTAACTCATTTTCTGCACACTTTTCCATTTCAGCTGTCCGGAATGTAACAATCCTGTAACTCTGAAGTAATGCTGAGAGATTAGAATACTTTTACCTCACTCGTTTTCTGCACACTTTTCTAAGGAAATCATTCCTTCACACATACTTTTCAGAAACTTATATTAAATTCATATTTAAGTAATAATAATTGTTTTGCTACATGCTCTAATTATTGCATAAGTCATAAAGTCATGGAACTTATATAATAATATGATGTGCATTACATTCAAAAGTATGTATAAGTTCGAACTGAGTTAATATATTCAAATAACCTGTAAAAGATCGACCCAGCAGTTTCCTTTCGAACGAAGTGTTGCGCCATCTTGCCGTCTTTGCTTTATTGCTCAAAGATTCAGAAAGAGTAAAATAATCCGTAACGATATGTTACGCGCATAATGTTGAAATATGTGTAACTCTGGAATTTCTGTGTGTGAAATTAAAATAGACTTACTGGAAGTGACAGGTGACGTGAAATGTTGGGAAGATGCCGATTTGTTAAGATATTATCTGAAATGGAGACTGTTGACCTACTAAGAACTGCTTGGCTGACCTTTCTGATTAGCAGGAATCAGCATCTAATGGGCATAGGAAAAGAAGAATGACGCAAGGCAAATGTCAGCTGTTCGTTTTTTGTTGGAAAGTTGCCAATATAGGCAGACTCTATCGCATGTATAGCTTCAATTATTGTAGCGTAGTGGACATTTGAAATATTCAGTTTTATTAGTTCTCTTTGGTATTTAAGGATGAGAAACGTCTTGCTATCAAAAAAGCGAAGGAAGATTTGGAAGAATGGTTGCAGAATAATCCAAAAGTACGACCAACTATGCGTTACTCCAAAGCAGAAGTACTTTTTGCTGACGAACCTATCTGGAAGGCTGTCCATGAAGGTGAACGGAAAGAGATTTTTGCAGATGCATTGGTAAGTGCAATCAACCGTTGTCATGACAAATGTGATTTTCACCTCCACGTACCGTATATCCATTCTCTCAGGGTATTCATCCATCTGTACATGATGTGACAGTTTACCAGGCTGACATATTATGTCACATGATTTAACTGTGTGTTCGATAGCTAAATTGTAGTTCTCTTCCAAGAGTTGTTAAATGGTTATGTTCGACATGCAGTCGCATTTTTACTAGAAGATCGCAGCTAATGTCGAGATGGTTTTAATTCTGATACCACATGTAAATTTAGAAAAATTCGTGCTCCAAGTATTAGGTTCTTGAGTCGTGGTAATACAAGTGCGTATGTTCCAGACATTCACTTTTTAATCAATGTGATTATTGCTGTGCTTGAAATTTTTTACTTTGGATGATAAAGAAGAATTTACAAAAAATGAAACGGCTGCGTGCGAGAATAGGCATGGAAGAATGTTCATTCTGAAATGCATCGTTTTACACGGAGCTCTTTGTAGGAGTTCATAGACAAACGTGAAAAAGAAAATGCGAAAGCTGTCCGCCGTAGAAATGTTCAGGCTTTAGCCGACATTCTGGAAGGGATGGAGGAAATAACTTATCGAACAACGTGGGCGCAAGCCCAACGTCTTCTTATTGAGAATCCTTCATTTGCCAATGACAGCACATTACAAAGTGAGTCATATTTAGCTAAGATTTTACTATTGCTAAGCTTGTATAAGTTGTTGAAAATTGAATTCGTTTATTTCAGTGGAAATGCCTATGTTAGTTTTTAAGCATGCTTGGTTTTTATGCTGATATTTTTTTAATATGCAATTGAAAATTTGAAGTGAGAAACTGGAAAAGATTGCTGCTTAACGGAATTGCTTAGATATGGACAAAGAAGATGCGCTCATTGTTTTCGAAGAGCATATACGTACGGCAGAAAAGCATTATTTAAAAGAAAAGGATATGGAGGAGCGTCGAAGACGCCGACAAGAAAGAAAAATACGTGAAGCTTTTCAAGCTTATTTAGTGGAACTGCATAAACGAGGTTGGTTGTTTTTCCGCACTAATACCAATATTACTTTTTAACTTTGTCAATTTTGTTTCTTTTTGAGCATATAAGGGACGTAAAGTTCGGTTATTAACTGTGGGTTATTGGTGGTTTTTTGATGCTTCTGTTTATTGAGATCAACACAGTCGCTTATTGGAAAAATTTTGACTCCGATATTCCACTGCAGGTGAATTGACTTCAATATCGTTATGGAGTGAACTGTATCCTGTCATTTCTGCAGACTCACGTTTCGATAATATGTTGAAACAATCGGGTAGCACACCGCTAGATTTGTTCAAGTTTTATGTAGAAGATTTAAAAAGTCAGTTTGGTCAAGATCGACGAGTGATAAAAGAAATTCTAAAGGTAATCTGGCTTTTCCATTCTTGAAGTAATAGATTTTTTTTCTGAGCTGGATTATGAGCTGTAATTGTAGGACTTGAATGTGACAGTCGAAGTGGGCACAACTTTTGATCAACTTTGCAAGTGGGTATCATCTGATGAAAGAGGCAAAACCGTTGATCCGGGTAACATGAAACTTTGTTATAACTCCTTGGTAGAGAAAGCAGAAGCTAAAGAAAAAGAACAGGAGCGTGAAGAAGCAAGAAAGGTTGGATATGAATACACATACATTTGGGGTGAATTAATAAAAGTTAAATGACTTCATTAATTGATTAACCAGCAGAAAAGTTGCTCCTTTCATTTTGGAAAAAAATGTGAGGGACTTTCAGTGCCAAGAAAAATGGAACATAGAACTTATGGTTGGGTCATAGCTAAAATGATGAGCAGGATATAACAAAGAGAGAATTACACAAACGGAATAGAATTATATCTCTCCGGATCATTATATCTCTTTCAGAGAAGGCGACATGAAACAGCATTTCGAAATATTCTGCGAACTTTGGTCCCTCCGGTTGAACCAAACTCGCAGTGGGAAGTTATACGTCCAAAAATTGAAAACGAAGAAGCGTTCATTACAGTTGAAACTGAACAGCTTCGAGAGAAATTCTTCAATGTGAGGTTTTTTAGTGATTATAATTTCTTCTTATGTACCAAATTGTAGAAAAAGCCTTGTATACGTTCTAGTTTGGTGATCTAATACTTAATAGCAAGGTGAATATGCATTTTTTCTTTTTTTTTTTAAACTTGAATATTAGACAGTTGAATTTATAAATTCAGTTTTAAAAATCAGTTTCGAATTACAGGATTACCTCCAGAATCTAGCAGAAGCTTGTGGTCATCATCATGGTTCATCAAAGAAGAAAAAAAAGGATAAGAAGAAGCGTCGAAAGGAAGAAGTAAAATTTCTACAAATTACTTGTTCGCTTTTTACATCAATTTTGATAAGGAACTGCAAATTACTATAACTTTAGAAAGAAAGCGAAACAGAAGGCGAAGCAAAACCAAAGAAAAAAAGGAAACACCACAAATCGGATGTAAGCGATGAAGAAAGAGGTGATTGTTTTACCTTTATTTGTGAGTTTACACGTCATGACACATTTCGTCTTAGTTTGTTACATTTAATTTTTTATATAGTTTTTATAGATTTGACACATCTTGGTGTCTTTTTTGAGAATGTTAAGAATTTTTAAACTGAACTCTTCAGCGAAATAATATATTTGCGGATTTACTAAGTAGTTTACTCCTTTCAAGTTTTTTTTCGCAAGAAATGATAAATATAAGGCGAATTACAGGAACAGAACGAAAGCGTAAAAAGAAGAAAAAACGGCTACTCTCAAAATCTTGCTCAAGGTCGCAATCTGTAGTAAGTGCTGATCTTCATAATTACTGAGAAATATTATATTTTCTTCGACCTTGCTTGTTACGATATTAGCAACTAACTACAAGCATATCAACAACCCATAATATGAGTTAATAAAACAATTATTAAACTGGTCAAACAAGAGTTTAGAAGAGCGGGGTAAGATATCTCGGAAGCGTAAGTGGTGATATTTGAATAGGCAGGTTTTCCGGCTGTTAATATATAATGAAGAATTATATTGGGACATTAGCAGCCAACAAAATCAAGCTTTTACCAAAATCAAATCAAAGAACAGACCTGTGAAAATGGAGTAGGCAGCTGCATTATCTGAACGATTTATCACAATTACGCACATACCTATTATATATATGATTTGTAGGAACCTGTTGAAAAACAATCCAAAGAAGAAGAAGAGTCTCCACTGCAGCAAGTATGTTGTTAATCTTACGGTATAATAGCTATATTTCATCTATCAATGCTGTCACATTTGACGATATTCAGACTGTGAATTGATCTTTTAGGATGGAAGTAATGAATCGGAATTAAGTGAAGGCGAGTTGGAGCGGAAAAGGAAAATTTTACTAAATAAACTGGATGTATCTCCTCAGTCATCCTAAGTATATTTATTGTATGCTTTGAGGGTTAGAGGTATTCGATGAAGGAGTGAAAAGGATTTATGTGATGATAAAGTTAAGAAGGGAAAAAGGAGAGCAAGTTTTGTCAAAATAATTGCGAATTTGTGTTTAAACTGAATGGTGAACAAAAGTTGGTTTACTGCACTTCATTTTTTATCATTCTTTTTGTTTGGGGGTGGGGTTTCATGTTTTAATTCTTAAAACGTGGCATCCTCTTATCTGTTTTCTACTATTTTATGGCAATGATTGAAACGAAGTTTTTAACTCTTTGCAGCTCGTATAAATATTGTTGCAGTAGTTTTTGTTTTATTATGCATGTTTTTAATGGGCTAAAGTTTGATTTTATTGCCCGTTAATAAATGTTCAGAATTCAAGTTTGATGCTTAAAGCATTCAATATTATAATGGTTTGACCGTATGTTTAATAACTGCTGTACTTATTTTTTGATCGAAGAAGATAACTGCTAGTAGATAGACTTCATTCTAGTTTTCATAATTTAAAAATTTTTTATTGCTACCAGGATGCGCATAATCTTTGTGTAAACTTTACACTTAACTCAGGTCCGGTGTCAGACATTAGAATTTGACACAGGACGTGAGTTAAGTCCGGAGTGAGGATGAATAACATGGAGTAAATGAAGAGATGGACTAAAATTTAAGCGAAAAGGATTTAAATCGGAGCATAATTTCGGGAAACTTTGAAATATTATCGTTCAGTAGAATAACTGGAGGATAAGGATGTATGCAATTCTATTAATTGATAATTTGTTATTTAGCGTTTTCATTTTCCTTGTTATCGTCTAATATTGAGCTAAATATGTCGAAACAGACGAAGTTTCCGATGGGGATCGACTCGAAGAAGGTACATTCTTTTTAAGATCAAAGGCAGTTCGAGGAGTGGAAGAGGAAGATCGGCAGGGTAAATCAGGTAGAAGTGACGTTGAGCTACGGTTATATTATCTCATATTCTAGCTATGTATAAAGTATATATTTATTTGAGAGTATTGAATTATCAGCCAAGTGAATGGTCATGTCCATTGTTCCTTCATTGGATATACTGAGCACGATGAATCGAGTATTTAATATATGTTAACTTATACATCTTGTTCGACCGAAATTATAGTAGAAGAGACGAAAACAGTAATTATGTTGCCATTAGAATAATTTATGTTTTCTTATTGTTTTAAGATCAGTGGTGAGCTATTCGCTCTCACATATGGGGCTTTGGTGGCAGAACTACTCCGAGATTTGGAAAACCCTCTGGCGGTTAGTTATATATGTTTCTCTTTGTGTTGACAAAGTCGACTTTTACTCGTCCATAATTCTTAGTATTTCTCTTAGTCTGTTCTTTTCATGTTCCTGTTTCGACTTATAGATTAAAGTAATTTTAGGTTAATCGACAGCTAGACAAAATGGGCTACAATATAGGACTACGATTAGCCGATGATTTGCTGGCAAAGAATTCTCAAATTCAGCGTTGTACAGACATGCATCAAGTTGCTGATGTGCTCGCGAAAATTGCTGTACGCAGTTATCTTGGTGAGAATGGCAGTTCTGGAAAGTCTTAATTTTTTTGTCGTTATCCGAAATGCCATCGCTTTGGATCTTGATCCCATTTAATCTTGTTCAAAAATTATTTTATTGAAACTCTTGATGTTTTTAATTAACCTCCACATGCGGTTCTGTATGTAGCCATTTTTTCACGAAACTTCCACTGCAAATAATGTATCAGAGTGAATTTGATCTGTTTTAGGAGTAACTGCGCAAGTGTCGAACTGGAATTCTCGCAATGACGAGTTTTCTCTCGTCCTTGATGCGAACCCTTTAGCAGAATTTGTTGAAGTACCACCCGAGTTAGCACAAGACCTTAGGTAAAGATCAGTTCATGTGACAGTTATTTCCTTTCTTCTGGACACTTTTGTTGTAAGTTTGGACAAGTTTTTAATAGGAAGTAAGATATCTGCGATTAATACTTAGCTGGTACTTTTGGGTATTGCATTGGCTTCGTCGAGCCTATAGGTTGGTAGAAAGACAAACGTCATATGTATATATATATATATATACTTTTATCTTTGCCGAACTTATGATGATAACTGTTATCGTATACATGAAACAAAAATACATCGAAATTTATATCAGAAATCTTTTTCGGTAATGGTCGGATGAGAGTCATTACCATAAATTCGGCAAAATCCGTAAAGCAAAACAAGGAAATGAACTCAGTTCATTCGATCTAATTGGGAGAGGGGAGGAACTAGAGATGGGCCAAATTTTCCCGTTTATCTTCTACGAGGTAATAAATTTTAAGGTATTCACAAATACTTTGTGGCGCAATACGAGGAGCTTTGGAAATGATGCACATGGAAGTGCAAACATTTATCGTGCAGGAGCACAGTCAGAGTGTTGAGATCAGAGTAAAATTCATTCGAATATTACAAGAATCAGTCCCACCTGGAGATGATTAGTTTCCTTGTTATTGTAATTGTTATGTTTTCCGTTCTCCAAACATTTCACTACCACTTGCTAGAAATTGTGCATCATTAATTTTATACTGTATAAAAGCGTTTTTTTTTGACTACTTCATTACGGCCTTTACTTTGGTATACTTGCTGCCACCTGAAGTCGATCTCTTCCGAATCTACGAAGCTTATCCAAATTTAAATCAATGTTATACATTAAAACAAATTAATTTGGCTTGCTGTCAGGAACTGCTGGGAATCCTTTAACTGTTTAATTATTTCCTTTGCTCATTCCTTTTAGTAATTTCGAGATACTGTTTTTTTTTTTCACTTTCGATCCCTACTTACTGGAAAAACATTTCGGAATTTAAAAAGACTGCCAGAAAAGTTTTAAGATGATTCTATTGGTTTATCACAATTATAACAAACAGTTTTTTGAATAAACAATCTCCTTTTCTTAATTATGTCTGCAATAAAAGCAGCTTTTCTTGGACATATCGCGAGATGGAGAAAGAGTTGTATGTTTTTCTTTCTAGTTTTTCTTCAAAATAAAAGGAATTATTTGCGCAGATCAGAGCCAGACTTCTGTGTGACACTTTATACCATCCAATTCTGGCTTATACGTTTGTCCCTACCTGTCCTCCCGCTACACTGTCCATGATCTCTGGGAAGATTTGCGACCATTAGATGCTTCTCTACTTTTTTTTGGATATTATTTCTTACCTATTCATTCAAGGCGGAATATGTTGACAGGGGTAATTCATCCTACGAGGCAACCGGAAGAGAATGGAAGATCTGCGAAAGTAATTTGCGTTATTTAGTGGAATAATTTAGGTAGTTCCTTTGCATTAGCTTTTTGTATGCATTGATCCAGCTTAAGTAAAATGAAGATCAGTGGACAACGAAATATCCAGTTTCCTCATGCATATAATCGGAGAATTCACGTCCAGCTGTGAATCGTTGTTTCGTCAGATCGACAAGAGCATGCAACAACGATATAAATGTGAGGCGAATGCAAAATAACGCCGAGTAGGATCAAGGGTCAAAGTCTGCAGGTGCGATGTTCGCAGGGTGAGATTCATATATTAGATTTTATAGGTGGTGCTCTCTTCGATGACCTTAAGCTGGTCCCAAAGGATGAAGATCCTTGTTGATGTTTCACTCCATCTTTGAAACAAGACTTAGTCAGTGAACTGTTTCATAGAAGCAGCAAGACCAACTTGACCCTCAGAGAGTGATCAGTAGAAAAAGTGACATCATTAACCCCTATGTTATTCATCGTCTTAGCACCTTTTTGTTGATGAAATGACCGCCACAACATTAACTGCCTACAGGCCATGGATCCCCGTGAGTGCAAATCGAATACGTTTAGTCGAATACCTACAATCCGTTTAGCTGCAATAAGTTGAAGGGATCCTAAGATTCGCTACTTTTACAATGTACGGTAGATTGGGAGTGTCATCGTTTTGTAGAGTGGTGCTCATTACGGCAAGCTGTGATATGACATTAATTTCTCGTACGCTCGGTAGATAGCTAGTGACTCGTGGTTGTGAATGATGCGTGAGTGTGCTATGAAGATGCGAGTGTGTTAATGGGGCGGGTATCCCTTGGATTGCTTCTTTTATTGATCTTTCAAATGGCAGAATATACCGCTAATTTCCGTCTTGTTTAGTTTCTGTTGCGTACAAAAGTGATAGGGATGTGTTCTACACAAGTTTTTCAACACACTCCTCAAATGATATGCATAGAGAAGTTCTTGAGGGATAAGTGATGAGAGGATAGCGTACGAACTCCTGCTTTCAGTGGACACGACTTTTCAATGAACTGTCGAGAAGCACTTGTTCATAAATCAAACTAATCCTGAGGCTTCCTCAGATTCACCAAGCTTCCTTCCTG